GGGGGGTGGGGGGGGGGGGGGGGGGGGTTTGGAGGAGGGAAGAGGTATATGGAAGAGAAATTCCAAATGCAATGGTTCACAATTTTTTGGAGAAGTTTTTTACTTGGATTTTTAGTTTGAGGTTTATTTGAATTTGACCAAAGATAAAATTATCATTACAATATTTCATCAACTCCACTAGGTGTTTAAGGTCACCATAAACTTTTGATATCGACCGAATTTCTCATCTCAAGTTTTTGAATTTACACTGGAGTTCGATAGTTAACTATTATACTAGTCTAGTTAAGTTCGTTTTCGATAGGAATAACGAGTGCGGTCAAGATTCTCATGATCCCATCAGTGAAAGCTTATTGGGTAGTCTTTGGGCGCCCTCATTTGCTCCTACACTTTTTTTTAATAATAATAAAAAAGGTTACCATTAAATTTTGAAAAACNTTTTTTATGGACTTAACTTTCAAGGACCTTCCATGAGGATGAGGCCTAAAGTAAAGACTTTGTTGACCTTGCTATTGAATCGGCTGGGGTGATAAACTCCTTTACTATTCTTGTTATTAAAGTGGAAGTATTGAGATATATGTTTGTATGTCCAATTTATTTTAATTAATTTTGAGTTGTATAAGAACTGCTATATTCTATTTGGCATTGTCCTATGCTATATTTCTCTACCATTTATATTTTCTCTAGCAAGTTCTAGTAATAATCTTTTGGGAACATTGCNCGATGAATACTAGAATTCATTCTCCGTCTAATAAGAATGACTAATTATGTCAATAAATTAGCAGATTTTAACAAATGCAAGAACTATCCATCAGATAATTATATCAATACATTAGATATAAATATTAGGAAAAGTTTTAGTTAGACTCCTTCAAATTTACTATATTTTAAAGGACACATTTCTATTTTAAAAAATATCAGTGATATCCCTTATAATTTATAATTAAATTTCATTGACATTCTCTGTCATTAAACCACGATTTATAACAAAAAAAATCATCTAAATACTAAAAATGTCTCTATATAAACCCCAAATAATCTTTATACATATAATTCGATTAAAATTAGAATCAATTAAAATTAATTTTTCTACACATTAAAATTCTAACCGATTAAAATTTATTTTTTATATATTAAAATTTGAGCCTATTAATTTTTTTTATGTATTAAAATTCGAGTTGATTTGAGTTCAACTTGAACTGTTAGTGTTGATTTAAATTTCGTTTCAAGTCGATTAAAATTTATGTTAATTAAAATTTGACTTGATTATAAGTTATATTTTTTATGTATCATTATTTTGGTCGATTAAAATTCAATGTGAACTGATTAAAATTTGATTTGAGTCGATTAAAAATTTGTTTGAATAAAATTTTAATACTTAAAAAAATATAATTTTTAATTGATTTAAATTTTAATAAAAAATAAATTTTAATTAGTTTGAATCAAATTTTAATTGATTTTGAATTTTAATACGTAAAAAATTTAAAAAATAGAGGAGATTCATTGAAGATATGCCTATCTATATGGAGTATGGATAGAGTTTTTTTCTCAAATATATGATGAATAATTTAGTAAAATTGTATTATAATTAACACTTTTAATTTGATGGAGTGTCGGTGTCGGTTCAAAAAATAAAGAGATTCAAAAAATAAAGAGAATGTACTTGATGAACGTGACTCAAATTTTTCCTAAATATTATTACCAGTAAATTGCACCCCATAATTTTTTCTTGAGAAGGTGGGACCCAGTGTTTGCCAGCATGTCGGTTCGGTTTGGCGCCAATTTTCACTTGTTCACTGTCAGTGTCTTTGTATTTGTCGCTCGTCACGTCATCGTCGCCATCTTCTTTCTGCTCAAAACCCTAGTTATTCTTCTGGCGATCACAATCCTCTTCTCCAATGGACGAACCTCGGCCCAAACGGCCCAAAATCTCCAGGTCTGTACCAATCTTTATCTATCTCCGTCTAATTCATCTTTTCACGCTATTAATCCTACGATTTCCCCATTTTCGTACTGTTCAATTCTAGGGTTTACAACAACTTGTTCAGTAATTTAACTGCCCTTTTTTTTTATTCTTTAGGAATAAACAACAAACTTTGTTTTTGGTTGGTTAGTTTTTTTGCTACCCTCTGTTTGTTAACCGAGAAAAATTGAGGACAATGAGAGAATAAAATTTTCAATCTTTATATCTTTTTTTTCCCTTTCATCTTGATCATTGGGTGAACACCTGTTTTATTGGAGCTTTGGTCTTTCAGCCTTCAGTTTCAATTAACTCTCTCCGTCTAGTTCATCTTTTACGTTATTCCTCCTACAATTTCCCCATCTTCATAGTGTTCAATTCTAGGGTTCACAATAGCTTGTTCAGTGTTTTGGCTGTCCTTTTTTATTCTTTAGGAATAAAACCATGGGTTAATTTTTTGTTACCCTGCTTGTTAACCGAGAAAATTGAAGGACAGCGAGAGAATAAAATCTTGAATCTTTATGGGTTTGTGGTGACTTTGTTTCATCTTGATAATTGGGTGAACATCTGTTCTATTGGAACATTGGCGTTTCAGTCCTGTTTCTTCTTTCTTTTTATATTTTTGGATACTTCCTCTTAGAAGGACATTCAAGTTTTGATCTTCTCATTAGACGAGGTTTCCTTGTTGGGCAAGATCCTTTTTCATGGGTCTAAAAGAAAAATTAAAAGATTGGAAGGTTTTTTTTTTTGNATTTTGGATACTTCCTCTTAGAAGGACATTCAAGTTTTGATCTTCACATTAGACGAGGTTTCCTTGTTGGGCAAGATCCTTTTTCATGGGTCTAAAAGAAAAATTAAAGATTGGAAGGTTTTTTTTTTTTGGGAGAGAAAAAGATTCTAAGTTTGATTGGGCATCTTTCTACAAATTTTCAATGACTTTATATTTTAATGCTTTCTTTCTTTTTTCTTATCGTTCTGTAGAGGGGAAGATGATTATTTGCCGGGAAATATAACTGAGATTGAGCTTCATAACTTTATGACATTTGATAACTTGACATGTAGACCGGGCCCGCGATTAAACCTTGTGATTGGACCGAATGGGTCCGGTAAGAGTTCTCTTGTGTGTGCCATTGCCCTTGGTCTTGGGGGTGACCCTCAGGTTAGTGAAGACCAGCATCATTGTTGATGCATGTAGTTTTATTTTGGTTTGATTGTTCAAACAAATACTCTGCAGCTGCTTGGGAGGGCTTCAAGTATTGGAGCATATGTGAAGCGCGGAGAGGAATCTGGGCATATTAAGATTTCTTTAAGAGGGGAAACTGAGGAGAAAATTACCATTACACGAAAGATAGATACATGTAACAAGTCGGAGTGGCTATTAAATGGTAAGATTGGTATTCCATGCTTGGTGGCTGTCCATTGTGTGATCTAAAGTTTCTCATGGATTATGGTCTTTTTGATCACCAATAAATATTCCAAGTGGTTGGTTGATGATTATTTGGGACTTGACATACTGCCTCCCTTCATTTCTTTTTTATGCTTGATAAATGGTTTTATTCAGATAGCATCTTTTCACATGGCATGGATTAGTCCATAAGGACTACTAGATCTGTTTTCTTAGGTGGGTATCAGTTCATTGGTGGTCGTCTCAAAAACTTCTGGCTTCTGAAGCACATATCTATATGGATATGATTGATTTGATTTTGCACTTTCTTCTCTTTCTAGGCAAATCCCATTACGACATTTTCACAATTTGGGGTAGCTTTCTATCTATCTGCTTATGTGTCTGTATACATCTAACTATGCCACTATATCCTGCATCATAACTCTAGTCTTGAATGCTTGTGCACCTGTATAATGTTAGTGGGATATGTTGAAACAATTCGTATGTCTGATAAGTGTACTGCTGCTAATTATTGTGTGGGGTACTTTGGTTTTAGGCAACGCTGTGCCAAAGAAAGATGTAATTGAAATGATTCAAAGATTCAACATCCAAGTCAACAATCTGACTCAAGTAAGTTCATGGATGTTTTTCTCGAAAATTGAAATGTTGACAGTTAGCTTGCTATGTGTAGATTGTGTATCGATAGTGCAATATTAGAACTCTTTTAATTACCATAAACAAATGCTCAGTTACATGGACAACTTGCAGTTACTAAAATTACATGGAGATGCTTTATTGGAGTTTCTAAGTTAAATTCAGTAATAAAATTACTACATCCGGTATTCTGATATTAAAAGATGAAATTGGGACAGTTGACCTCCTTGTCCATTTTTCCCTTGATTGACCCGACGAAAGGAATTTATAAACCAACAAAAATATGGGCGAATGTGGCATAAAAATTTATATTTTGCTGATGTCATCATGAAAACTCAAGGGCATTTATTTTGTCTTCTCAAATCTTAGGGGATGCCAATTTAATTTACTCATTGGTTTATGCTTGGTGAATTAACCGTTTATTAAGTCAAACCAATTGTGTAGGTTCCGTGTGATAACCAATGACTAATTGGCAGGTGTCCAATCAAATATCGTGTCGAAAAAGATGGTCAAGTAATTTGTTTCTCCAATGAGAGAAGTATAACACCAAAAACTTGTTCAATTGTTACAGAAAAAAACTCACATCCTTCCTTCATCCAAGTGATGAGGAAAGAGCAATCTGCGTCAACAGTTAAATTCCTTAATTTCACACAACAAGCTTTGCTGAGCTCTTCAGGGAAAACCAAATCAATTGGATCTGTTTTTGTATGTTTGGAACACAAGGGAATAGTGTTTCCAACTCCCAAAATGGAAAGCCACAGTGACAATCATCAAAGTTTTTTCTGCATCTCGTGTGATGGAGGACTCCAATACAATAGAGCTGGGAACTATGCATTTGGAGGAATACAGTATAAAGGAATATCACAAAAATTATAATTCAAATAAAATCTCATTACCTTTTTAGTATGATCTACCGGAAATTTTAAGAAAACCATTTATCAAACCATTTGTTTCGTAAAGCTCTTCAGAAATCCTCCCCATACCATCCTGATTATGTCAAACATGGTGCAACCTGGAACTGGTTTTAGCCGCAAATTACTCAACCAGCTTGTACTCTGGTAATATAATTGTCAGGAATTCCAGCACTTGTCTACCCCCGAATCACCTGGATTAAGTCAAACCTGGTACTAGTTAGAAGTGGTTTTGATAACAAATGGTACAACGAGCTTGTACTCTGGTGGTTAGTGTAGTTTGATGTCGAGTGACTGATCTGGGACCTTGACTTCATGGATATTGGTGCAGTTTTTTGTGGTAAAAGGCAAAAGAAGTGAACAAATGTAAATCCTTTTACATTCTTCAGGGGCAGAAGTCAGTTGCATCTTGTTGGAGAATAAAGGTCTTAAAGACAGTTTTTATAGAAATCATGTTTTGTCAACCTAAACATTTATTTGAATGAGCCTTTCTTTCTCACTATGAAGTTCAATATCATCTCCATCTGATGTTAATAACTCTACCTTATCTGAAAGATGCTCTAAATTATACTTTTGAGCTTGGTAAAATTGAGACACTGCTTTCATTGATCCAATGCTGTTCTATATAAGTCAGTTATTTGGCATGAAAGCGAAGCATATTAAGAATACTAACCCCAACTGCAACTTTTACAAATCACAGTTTTTTATGAAAGGTATGGAAGGGGTGGAAGACTTCTTATTCTTACATATGGATTCTGTGCCATAGCTTTCATCTTCAATGATCCTCTGCCATATATTTTACCATAAAGTTCATACTCATTACATACAGTTCCTTCATTTTTTAATAATGTTCGAGTACATATGTATTCTTGTAAACCAGGTATCTTATTCTTTGTTCTCAAGCATTACCANCAAGTTCATACTCATTACATACAGTTCCTTCATTTTTTAATAATGTTCAAGTACATATGTATTCTTGTAAACCAGGTATCTTATTCTTTGTTCTCAAGCATTACCAGTCCCTTCTCTTTCCTTCTCGTGATTGTATTTTTGCATCACATTATTAATGGTACTATTTATGGAACTTCAAATGAACTAATTTCTGGCGATTTGTGGTTTTTGTTCACATGAGAATCTTCGTCTTAATATTCTTTCCCTTTTTTTTTTTTTAATTTTTTTCCTGGAGAGGACCTTAGTTTTTACCACAAGACAGGGTCTGTGAATTTGCTAAGTTAACTCCAGTGCAACTTTTGGAAGAGACTGAAAAGGCCACAGGTGATCCTCAGTTGTCCATCCAGCATTGCACTCTTGTTGATAAAAGTAGGAAACTGAAGGATCTTGAACGAGTGAGTTTATACATTCACCCTTAACCTGGACATGGTTTTCATAATTGCTGTAAAACATTTTACTGATTTGTAACTAGTTTGGTATTAGGTTGTCGAGACAAACAGAAAATCTTTGGATCAGCTGAAGGCATTAAATGCTGAGCAAGAAAGAGATGTTGAGCGGGTTCGTCAAAGAGAAGAACTCCTGGAAAAGGTAATTCTTTATGTTTTTACTATCATTAGTTTCTGAATCAACAATTTGGCTGAGATTTCATATCATTTGTAGGCTGAGTTCATGAAGAAGAAATTACCTTGGTTGACATATGATATGAAGAAGGCCGAATATGTGGAAGCTAAAGAGCAAGCAAATGATGCAAAGAAGAAGCTGGATGAAGCTGCCAAGTCTTTGAATAAACTTATGGAACCTATTGAGTATGTCGACTTGCTTGAACTAAATGAATCATGTTATTTAATATTTCATGTACGGGTGGTTAAAATTCGGCTTAGTAACCTTAAGGTTGTGGGTTAGAATATGAGGGTAATCACTTTATGCAAATAATGTCAAAGGTTAGGTCTGTATTCAATCTACCCCTCCTAGATTAAACTGGATGTTATTATTGTTGTTGTTATTATTAGGGTTGGTTTTCTTACCCCCTTGTGGTTGAACTGGTAATACCTCACCCCTCATGCTTAAAAAATTCACATAAGCATCATGTGGTTTTTGATTAAAAAGAACATTCGACAGTGTTAACCGCAATGACAAAAGGATATTTTTACCCTTGCCATCCTCCACTTTGACTTCTTATTCTCTTTCTGTTGCCTCTTCCATCTCTCTACTCTGTTCTAAAATCAGTCAACTCCAAAATCATGTCACCACGAACACCTAACATACCACACAACCACAAAATCATGTTCTAAAACCGGTCATTGGCAGAAACACACATTGCCACCACCACTGCACACGTCCACAGCTACCATAGATCCATACACATTTCAAATCAGATAGAAAACACGAGGTTCAGATTCGAGGCCAGATTAGAAGACAACAGAAGACCACACAAACCACGGTATCACCACTATTAAGTTTGGAAGATTAACATAATATTAGAGACAATATTTAGGGAGAAACAGAGAGAGGTAAAACTTAATCTAGCTCTCATACATCACTTGTATTTATAGTTAACTCACAATAATAAAAATTATACATAAACTCTCTTACTATTAATAATTTACACATACTACCCTATTATTCTTAACAACCACCAATCAATACCTGGGTACACAACCCATTCAGATGAAAACCATATTGATTCATATGTTAAAAAGCTACAAAAAACCTGTGAAGAACCACCATACCCACCGTCGAACCACCACATCAAATCGTCTTTCTCTTTCTGTTCCTCTTCCTCTTCATTTGCCCATCACAAGTCAAGACCATGAACGTTGTTGCTTAGTCCCCAAAATTTGGAGCACTTAAAATCAGGATCGATGATTTTCTTAATCGACTTTAGAAATTAGGAAATTGAAAATCGATAGATTTCGAATAAGAGAGAGGGGTTGTGCCAGAATCAAGCTAAACCAGTCCAAGAAAAACAAAAGAAGAGAAATGCGTTGGAGAGCAGAACCAGTCCAACAAAGAACAAAAGAGGAAGAGAGAGAGGTCGAAGATGGGTATTGGTTGTAGGGATGGGGGAGCTGGTTCTAGGGATGGGATTATGGTGTGGGGAAGTGGGTGTTGTGGGTTGTAGGGTGGGAGAGGGGGATACGGGGATGGCTCTGTTTGATGATTTGATTTTTGCATTAATAAGAGTTCAGAGAAATTGGGAGAAGTAGATGAATATCTTAGGGGAATTTTGTGCTTTTATATTTAAATTTGACTTCAACTATTTTTTTTTTTTGCATTCCTACTCATAAAATTGGTGCACGTAGCACAATTTCCATTAATTTGGACGGGAATGCTAACCGTAGCACTTTTAGTTCAAAAGTTATGTGGTTGTTTTTAATCATAGGCGGGTGAATTGCTATACTGCCAAACCACAAGGGGGTAAAATGTAGTTAACCCTTATTTTTCTTGTTTTTACTATTATACATGAATTTAAACACACTTATGAAGATACTCGGCCACTGGGCCCTGTTAGAGTTGTCTAATTTTACCCTATCTGTTAACTTGTGTGAAGTGTATAATTAATTTAATAAGGTTGTGGAATATTATTCATTTGGTTGGATGATTTGTCCACTTTTGATTGGTTTTTGTACCACTGTTATTATTCCAATTATTAATAAAATTGGTGTTCTATATCGAAAAAAAGGTTGTGGAATATTATTATATTTAGGCTGAAAATGATCAAGAGGGTACACATTCCTTTCTTAATTTCCAAACTTTTTGAAGGGTTGTTCGGTACCCAGGTTGTGATTGTTAATTTTCCATTAGAGCGTTCTATTTTTTTTATTTCATGGAATTTTCCTTTGTCATTTGGTCAATGCGATATTTGACATTTAACAAAATAAATGGCTGTAGGAAACAGAAGCAAGAAAAAGCAATAGAGGATGCCCAATGTAAAAGTGTAAGAGGTCTCTTAGATAGCAATGGCAAGAAACGTATGCAACTTATGGAGAATGAAAATCGTTTGGTATGCTGTTCTCAGTGATTTTACTTGCTGGATTCTGTTGCATGTATTTGATAGCTTCCAAATTTTTTTTTATGTCTTTATAGGAAGTCCAACTGCGTGGAAAATATCATGAAATGGAAGAGTTGAGGCGGCAAGAAGAATCACGTCAAGAAAGGATCGCTAGAGCTAAGGACAATGTTGTTGCGGCTGAACTGGAATTTGAAAACCTGCCTCCTTATGAACCTCCCAGGGAGGAAATTGTAGGTTATACTTTGTTTTGTGTATTTTGAGTTACTTTTGGAAATGCCATGGGTTGCGGGTGAACTTGCTAATAGATATTCAAACCTGAGGTCACCTTATTATTTGTAGTCTTAAATTGTGGGATAGGTGAAAATTTATAAACTATTTGAGTAGCCATTACCAAAAGCAAGGAGTTCCAGATTTAACTTACTTTATTATTTTTTTTCAAATTAATAGTGCTAAATTGGCATATTTCTACCAACGACTACACTGTTAGTGAAGGGATATATGATAAACATTAGGATACAGATATTTTGATGGATATATTAACATCACAAGCTTCAGTTTAAATTTACATTCTGTATGCAATACAATTATTGTTTGACATGTGAGTTATGGGTATATCGCATGCATTGCATGAGCGTTCCCTATGTTGCAATATATCCCCCTGCAATTTGATATTTCGGAAATTTGTTTGATTTGTGGGCAATGTATCCTTGTGCGATATTTATTGTGCAAAATACTGCAGTAGTTAACAGAAGGGAAAACCATATGTATAGGACTTCTTTTTTGGATCAGCTATCTTTTGTTTTAATGGGTTTTAACTGGAATTTTCAGTGACAGTTGCTTTCTTGGGTTGTGGGTCTCATTTGTCCTATTCTTGTTAAGGATGAATTAAGTTGTTTTAGGAACTTTATAGCTGGAAATTAGTTTCAGAAGTTGTCCCCTTCATTCTATGCTGACCCCAGCCCGGGCTGGCTTTTTGGGAAGCCTGTTCTCACCACACTCACTCCCCGGCTGGCTTTTTGGGAAGCTTATTCTCACCACACTCACGCCCCAGGTGGCCTCAGCGGTAGTGGGAATTCTTCTGTTCCCTGGTCAAAGGCTTGGTTGGATGTGGGATCTACTCCACAAGGAGTGGTGTGGATGTAGATGATATCATAACGACCTCTCTTTTCGTAATACTAGGGATGCAGATGCTTAACTCCACTTCGCCAACTGGCATTACTTGTGCTTTCGTGTCTCTCAGTGTGGTCAGCATTGGGTGTTCCTGAGCAGCAAGGCTTACACCCATTCGCATTAGTTTTATATATTAAGTTTTTTTGTGGTTAGAGTTTCTTAATTCTTGGAGTCCTACTTTGACTTGTTTGGGTGTCTTTCTGGAGATGCTGTCTAGCCCATTAGTGCCTTGGAGAATTTCTATCTTGATGTAATTTGAGTCCTACTTTGATTCAATACTTAGTGGGCCAAGTTTAGAAGGTTTATGAGTCATTGGGGAATTCTGGTATCTATAAATGGGGTCTTTGCTATAAAATGGGCTTGGACTTAATGAATTGGTATTTCTTTGTTATGAACGCGTATGGAGCTCTTCTATTCATTTGCCTGTGGATTTCGAAGAAATCCTCATGGAGTGGGGTATTTTTCTCTGCTTTCTTCTTAATTTTTTGACTATTTTTCTATCACAGGGTTGTTTCTTTTTACACTCTGAACCAAAAACTTCATTGGTTACCATGGCCTGGCAACTAGTATTCATTGCCTTTGGATGTCTCATTAACATAATGACACGCGGTTTGGGAAAATTTGATTCTTAGACATTGCTTACTGACCTTTTTCACTGTTAATTCGTTTACTCTGATTAAGAAATCAATGCTATTTCCAGGAAAACTTAGGTGCTCAGATTCTGGAGCTGGAAGAGACTGCAAGGGAAAAAAGATCACAGAAGTCAGAAAAGGAAAAACTGCTAACTCAAAACAAAGTAATACTAAGACAATGCGTGGACAGGTAAAGATGATACTAAAACTGATGATTCTTTTCATATGTCTTCTTAACAGTAAGTTAATACTTCTCACCAAACCCTTGTGTAAGCCGTTTGCAGGTTGAAAGATATGGAGAGTACGAATAATAAACGCTTACAAGCATTACGTAATTCTGGAGCTGAAAAGATATTTGAGGCATATTACTGGGTGCAAGAACATCGCCACGAGTTTAATAAGGAGGTGTACGGTCCTGTCTTGATTGAGGTGCCCATAGTATATGGATGTTTTCATTGATTAAATTAATTTGTGCCATTTATCATTGAGTAAATTGTTGGACTGGAAACTCAGGTTAATGTCTCAAATCGGATTCACGCAGACTACTTGGAAGGTCATGTTCCTTATTACATATGGAAGGTATTATCATTTGTTGATGCTTTATTTAGCCTCTGTTCTTGTAAGTTTGTTTGCTGGAGTGGAAGAAACTTAGAATTTTTTATGGGTTATTGCTCGATGCAATGGTTAGAGACAGGGTTTCATGCGGGAGGATGCAAGGTTCGAGTTATCTGGATTGAACTTTGAACAATACATGAAATTTAGGTTTTTACGGTGATTAAATATCATATTTTGCTTATATAATTGAGATTATTGTAAGAACAATTGTTTGTCAAAAAGAGATTAATTTTACTTTTACTAGTAATAGCCACTCAAAATTAAGTGGTGTGATTATTTTTTTTGATAAGAAACAAGATGTTCATTGATTGGTGGCAAAGGGTACAAAGAGTACGAAGTAGTGGACAAGTAATCGATCTATACAAGAGAATAAAATCAAGTACATTGAAAAGGTTGTGTTAGAGTTCTTAGTTTTTGTATTAGTCATGTTTAAATTAGTATAGGGTAATATTGTAATTCTCTTCTTCTCTTCCTCTTTAGCATTCTCTCTACTAAACCCTAACATAAAGTATACAATTTAACTTGGTATCAGAGCACTAATTCGACAACTAAAATATTTATAGAGGACATCGTAGAAGACTTAATGTTATTTTCTTGTTCTTGACATTGCTAACAGTGATGACTTCATGCTGACATCATCTTTGTACGTACACCAAAACTCATCCCAAGGCTCGATTTTCCATGGTGATAATTGTGGTAATTTTTGTTTATTTTTTAGAAGCCATCGGAATAGGGTTTGCTATTTTTGAATGATTTCCGAAAAATTGGGTTGAATTTGTCAATCTGATTTCGGCCAGCTTTGGGTTTTCTTTTGGTTCGATCTGCACCAGATAGGTGCAAATCTACCTTGGGTATGTTGCTGGAGGTTGCCCAGTGGATTTTGATTGTTTTTTGGTGGTTCTTGTGGTCTCGGCACTGTAAGAGGCTGTTCAGGCTTGGGTTTCTGCAGCGATTTTGGTTTTTGGCTCGATTAGGTGTGCTAGTTGATCTGTGAGTTGCATAGCTTGTTTTTTGGGTTGATTTGGAGGTGCTTCAGTAGCAAAACAGTGCCGATAACACTGTTTTTCCACTTGAATAGTGCTCCCCTGTTGCTGATTATTGTTATTTTGTTTTTTTTGGCCTTGGTGGGCTGTTTGGATTTAGATTTATTGATGTGTCACTGAAGTTGTTGAAGCCCATTGATCTGATTTGTGCTGACTAGTTAATGCTATCTCATTGGTGGCTCTTGTTTCTTGACACTGTGCTGCATGGATCTTTTGATGATTTGCTGGGATGTTGTTTTCCTTGGTATACCGGGTCACTGATTTATTATTTTTTTTTCTAGTTTCTCCCCTTGTTGCTTGCTGGTTTTCGTTGTGTGTGTCCTGTTTCTTGTGGTTTGCTGTTCAACAGTGCATCAACCTCTGGCCATTCAACCGACGTGGAAATTGGTTTGTTGTTGTGGGCTGGTTTGTGGTGGACCTTGTTTTGGGTTGCTCTTGAAAAAGTTGCTTTGCTTCAGAAATTATTGGGCCGGACTTTTGTTGAGCTGTTTGCTGGCTATGTGTTGGGCTGTTTTTTTTTATTGGCTGGATTCTTGGATTTAGTAGCTTGTTGGACTGTTATCTTGCCGAAACCATTGTTTTTTGATGCTGGACAGATTGCCGACTGATTCTGAGTTTGCTGGATTGATCCGTTTTGATTGGATCTGGTCTGGGTGTGTTCGATTTGGTTTAGATATGATTGATTTGGGTGGTCAGGGCTATGGTGTTTCCTGGGGTGGACGTAATGGTGGTCATTGTGGTGGTAGAGGCCCGGGGGCCCGTGGTAGTTGTAGTGGACGTGGACATTGCTATGCGTGGAAATGTTCTTATAGTGGATTCACTGGCTACACTGATGATTACTGTTGGGACAAGTATGGGCGACCAACCTATGCTAAGCTGGCATTTGATGACTTAGCTCCACCTGTATCTCCGATCTCTACTATTGCATCTACTGGACCTACATTTGGTTCGCCTGATGCCCTTACTTCTCAGCTTCGTAGCTTCTTCAGTAGTTATCCTCATTTTCTCCTCAATCACCTACTTCAGTTGTTGGTTTGGCTACTGAAGGTAATTTTGCACATGTGGCAGCACAATCAACTTCACCACCTTGGATTATTGATTCAGGAGCTAATGCTCACATGTCTAAGTATTTCTTCTATGTTTTCTAACTTCCGTTCTTCTAACTTTCTTATTGTATTAGCTGATGGTTCTTTTAGACAAATACGTGGGATTGATGATCTTCATCTTATCACATCCATGTCATTAACATCTGGTTTATTTGTCCCTCAGTTTCTCTTTAATTTGTTATCTGTGAGTCAATTAACCAAGTCTTTATAGTGTTCAATGATTTTTTCTCTATTTTCATGTGTTTTTCATGACCTCCAGATGAAGAAGTTGATTGGTTTGGGGCATGAGCAAAATGTACTTTACTATTTGGATTTTAGAGCAGTAGTTCCTGCATTTAGTCTATTGTGTCTCCTCTTTGATGGCACTTCCGACTGGGTCATTCTTTATTGCAAAAGTTACGACAAGTTATTTCTAGTTTGAGTCCTTCTGTGTTAAAATGTGAAGCTTATCAATTAGGCAAAATCATCGTGGTTTCTTTCCTCGTAGTTCTTCAAGTTGTCAGTCAAGTCCATTTCATATTGTTCATATCGATATTTGGGGTTCCGCAAGAGTCAAAAGTGTTTATAGGTTTCAGTATTTTATGATATTTGTTAATGATTTCTCTCATATGATTTGGTTATTTCTTATGAAAGATTGATCTGAATTACCCAAAGCCTTTACCACTTTTTATAATGAAATTCTGACTCAGTTTGATGTTGGTATTAAAGTTCTTTGCTGTGATAATGCCCTTGAGTATACTCAATCTTTTATGAAAATCTTTTGTGCTGCCTGTGGCATTATCCATCAAACCACCGGTCTTCATACTTTCCAATAAAATGGTGTTATCAAACATATGCATCGCTAGATGTTAGGCACCATATTGGGCTTATGTTGTTCTCATTGCAGTCTATCTTATTAATCGGATGCCTTCTCCTATCTTAGGTAACAAAACTCCATTTTTTTTTGCTATATCCCAATACATCGCCTTTTGGTTTAACTCCTTAGGTATTTGGTTATGTTGCATTTGTTCACCTTCTTAGCCTTGGTACCGTTCACCTTGTTCGGTTAAGTCATCTTTCTAGAATACTTTCGTACTTAGAAAGGTTNGGATGCCTTCTCCTATCTTAGGTAACAAAGCTCCATTTTTTTTTGCTATATCCCAATACTTCGCCTTTTGGTTTAACTCCTTAGGTATTTGGTTATGTTGCATTTGTTCACCTTCTTAGCCTTGGTATCGTTCACCTTGTTCGGTTAAGTCATCTTTCTAGAATACTTTCGTACTTAGAAAGGTTATCGTTGTTATGATCTTCTCTCTCGCAGGTGTTATGTTAGTGGCGATGTCACCTTGTTTGAGTCAACTTCTTTCTTTTTTAATACAAGAACTACTATTTCATTAGATTTGATCTCTACTAGTCAGGGGGAGCTGAAATTGTCTCTTGTACCTAACGGTGTATCTTTTTCCTCTTCGATTACTGACCCTATTTTACGGGTTTATTGTCGTTCCATATGCTTTAGCTCCCTAACCAATACCTGTTTCTACTGAGATCTTTTCTCCTTAGTCGCCTAATTTTTTGCCTATTGCATTACGGAAAGGTACTCATACTTGTACCCAACTTTCTATTTCTAATTTTGTCTCTTTACATTAACTTTTCTCTTCATTTCGTTGTTTTGCATTCGCCTTGTCTTTTTTCCTTGTTCCTAGTTCTTTGAAACATGCATTAACATCTGTTGGATGAAAACTGAGTATAGATGAAGAAATTAAGGAACTTCATGAAAATCTTACTTGGGACTTTACTTCTCTTCCATCTAGTAAACAACATGTTAGTTGTCATTGGGTGTACACTGTAAAATATCATTCTGACGGTTCTNTTGGATGAAAACTGAGTATAGATGAAGAAATTAAGGAACTTCATGAAAATCTTATTTGGGACTTTACTTCTCTTCCATCTAGTAAACAACATGTTAGTTGTCATTGGGTGTACACTGTAAAATATCATTCTGACGGTTCTGTTGAGTGGTTGAAGTCACGGTTGGTTGCTAAAGGTTATATTCAAGCTTGTGGTGTGGATTATAGTGGGACATTTTCCCATTTGCTTGTCTTAATTTTATTAGAGTTCTTCTTTGTATTGCGGTTAGTTTTGGCTGACCTTTATATTAGCTAGACATAAAGAATGCATTCTTACATGGAGATCTACAAGAGGAGGTATANGTTCTTCTTTGTATTGCGGTTAGTTTTGGCTGACCATATTAGCTAGACATAAAGAATGCATTCTTACATGGAGATCTACAAGAGGAGGTATATATGACCCAACTTCCAGGGTCTGTTATTTCATGCCAAGTACAATTAGTGTGTCGTTTGAAGAAGTCACTATATGGCTTGAAATAGTCACCATGTGCCTAGTTTGATAAGTTCAGTACCGTGATACTTCAGTTTGGTTTTTAACCCTCTGCCTTTGATCATTCAGTTTTCATTCATAGGTCTTCTACAAGTTTTATTATTGTTATTATGTATATCATTGACATTATCATTAGTGAGAATGACGCATATGGTATTGCTCACTTCAAGGCCTATTTAGGAAAATAATTTCATACTAAAGATTTAAGTCTTCCTCGGTACTTCATAGGGATTGAGGTTGTTTGTTCAAAGGAGGGTATCAGTTTATGCCAACGAAAGTATGTACTAGACTTACTGTCTGAAACAGGTACTCTTTAGGACAATATCGATGATTAGGTGGTAAACTAATTTATCTTACAGTTACACGTCCTGATATCACATATGCTGTTGGGGTTGTTAGTCATTACATGCATGCCTCTCGTAAGCCTCATTGGGATGCTGTCTTTCATATACTTCAGTACATGAAAGGGCTTCGGGAATGTTTATTATATCTTTCATCATCATGTATAACTGTTGTTGGTTTTTCTGACGCCAATTGGGTAGGTGGTCATAGTGATAGACGATCTACGTCTGGGTATTGCACAATTGTTGGCTGTAATTTGGTTACTTGGTGCAAGAAGAAGCAAAATGTGGTTGCTCGTTCCAGTGTAGAGGCTGAGTATCGTGCTATGACACATACTGTTTGTGAGATGCTATGAGTCCGTTCTCTACTCCGTGATATGAGACTTGATGTGTCTTCTCCTATGAAGATGCACGGTGACAAGTAGCTATTTTCATTGCAAATAATCTAGTCTGTCATGAGCATACTAAACACATTGCAGTGGATTGCCATTTTATTTGAGATCTCTTGATGCGGAAGGATATCATTACCCTATATATTAATTTTGGTGATCAATCAGGTGAAATTTTTGCCAAGCCATTAGCTCTGTCGTCCAGTAGTAGTTTATGTTTTAAGTTGGACATTTTTTATCCTTATGCTCCAACTTTAGGGGGAGTGTTAGAGTTCTTAGTTTTTGTATTAGTAATGTTTAAATTAGTAAGGTGTAATATTGTAATTACCTTAATTGTTTCTCTACTATAAATAAAAAGGTGTATGACAATTCAGTATATACACCAACTAGTCATAACCTGTGCCTGAAGCAACGATAAAACGTAAAATTTAAGTGCCAAAAAAAAAAAGTTGTTCACACTTATTAAATTTTTTCAACATGTGTATCCTACCATCTATGAAAAATGTTTAAAATAAAAATTATGTTAAATTATAAATTAATCAAATATTAAATGATTGAACATGTGATAGAGATAAGTGATGTGATGTTTTTAGAGGAAAAAATATATAAAGGATAAAAATTTAAATTGCTATTTGTTTTATTATATAAATTATTCCTTGCAATCTCTTTTCTTCTCTTCCTTTTTCTCACTCTCTACTAAACCCTAACATAAAGTATACAATCTACTTGGTTGCATAACTTTTGAACTAAAATAGCCTTTCATCTAGCTAAATGCAGCTATTCAATCAAGACTAAGCAAAAAAAATGGGACACCTTTAAATTCATTTGTGGTCGAGGTTCAAAGAGATGCCAAAAATTTAACTCTATCCGAAAGAAAGTCCACATCTTCTTCATTTTCTTGAAAATATGTTGTTTCTTTCCAACCAAACCACCCAGAAAATTGCCATAATCGCACATTTTCACTATTTTTTTTGCACAGAATGCACCACTGAGGAGAAAGACAAGAAATTGGTCTTCTCCTGTTCAACTCGCAAGTATTAAGCTTTCCATAAGCTACAATCCAAGTAAAAACCTAATTTGAACAACTACCATTTGAGTTCTTAAAATTCCTACATTCAGCTTTCTAATTTGAATTCTTACTATAAGCTGATCCACTCTCGCAAAAGCTGTGGTCCTCCCATGGAAAATGCTTTGATACAAGTATCGAGGCACTTTTTCCCAAATCTAATTCCTCCTTTTCCTTGGAAGCTTTCCATTAGCTCTGAACAATGTCGTTTTTGCCCTCGCTATTTTAGAAAGGACACTTTCAAGCTCAAGGCCAGCTATTGCTGTTTAGACTATGAGTATCCATTTTACCAAAATGCTCCCTCAAACTCAATTGGTTGTACAGAAATGT